TTTACAGTAAAAGAGCCGAATCCCGAATGCCGGTACTTCTTACCGTAATTTTTTATACTGTAAAAAACCAAGCTTGAATGATTAAATGTTGAAGGTGATATGAAATATTCATATTGCTGCTTAAAATGAGTTAGTCAGGTCCTATTAATTTATTTTAAATTTGAATATATTTGAAGCCATAAGAATTGTAAAAGGGCAGCCGATGCAAGTAGCGTTCGATTAGTGTAGTGTTAACAGAAGAAAGAAAAAGACTATTGTCATGTCATAAAGTCATAAATAGAATAATCTGAACAATCCCCAGTAAGACATGCTTAAATTAATATAAATTTTTAATCTTAACTGGACACCGTGTATCGCCATTAGCTTTAAACGCGCGCCTGGAAAGCTTCTGGCCTATCGCAATACGAAGCTAATGTATTGTATACTTATAATAAAATACAGAATATGTGTGTATTTGTGTGTCTGTATACCGATTCACGATTCTAAGAATACGAAATTCAACATGAATCTAAATGAATACAATTGTAAGCAAATAACAAAACCCGGTTTTAAATTTTAAATTAGATTTTGAAATTCAGAGACATTTGAGAAGTTAATTTTCTTATTGGTTTAGAGGAAGCCTCTCAGTTTTGCTAAATATTTTAGAGATAACATTAGTTACGTTTGCTAGCTTACAGCTCTAATAAAAAAGAATAGTTTATTGCAAGTTCAGTATTACTTAATTCTTTTTTATTAGTTATGCCAGGCTATCTGAATGAGCAACGTGATCATGGTAGCATAAGCGGACTAATACACATAAAATAAGCATTTCTAAGGCAATCTGAAACCCCGAGTTTATTTCGTATATAGTTATGCGTTTAAAACGTGATGCCATAAAACTAAATAATTTAAAATCAACTGTAATTGAAATAAAAATAATATGTTTTGTACTGAAAAGCAAAATTAAGGGATAAATGGTACTATAGTTCGTTCACCAGGAGTTGGCACTTGGCTCCGTCTTCACGTGGTATGCGACGATACTATTTCACTATTTTGAGGAGAAGGATGTGAACAAACCTGAACAAGGTTGCTATTTGGTGATCGTATAACAAAAATATTTATTTCGCTAACTTTGTGTGCATTTTTTTAACATTAAATATTTCATAAATTTGATGATATTCCACTCCATTTTTTATATTTTTTGGTTGGGAAGTAAATGCAAAGAATTGCAAACAAAATCGCCACATGAGCAATAACAACTAACATTTGGAAGAATTCCTAGTATTTTCTTATCCAAATTTTCCTTACATTTATAATTCAGCTATTAAAATGTTAACTTAATTCAGAGTTATGCTAGATATTTTGTATTTTATTTAAACGATAAAATTTTTACTGCAGTTATTAAATTTGATCTTTCAGTTTTAATTAAGAATTAAAGCAACTCCTTATAGCCAACATAGCAAATCCTTTGCTAGACGAATAGAACTTGACTAGATATTCAAATCTAACATTGAAGCTTTTATAATTTCTCTACATAACATAAAATCATAATGGTCTAACACCATTTTCCATTATTGTCGGCGCATTTTTATTGGCCGGAAAATCACGTGGTAGGATCCAGTTTTCCTTCATTCATTTCCATGTTGTTTAGGTTGTCATCAGCAAAAAATTAACGAAAGGTATTGCTTTCCTTTAAATATTTTTGTATCCCTAATTTAAACTTATTTTCCAGTACTGCTCTTATTAGCGAGAATATTTAATTATGGTTGTGTACTCATCAAATTTGTTTGAGCAATATAATGCTATAAGAATATAAATGTTATTTTAAAAAATGATTACTTCGAAAAATCACTTCCGTTCACCTAGAGATTTAAATGTTTATAATACTAATAGATAGTAATATTTGGACGTGGAAAGTAGAGGCACAAGAGTAAGCAAACAGAATTCCTTTTAATACATATATGTTAAGTGAGTAATTTTAACTTTAGTAGAAAAACTGTTTTCTGCTAAGAAAAGACAATTATTGAGGAAGCAATAATTGGGGTTGGTGAGCTGCAGCGAACAGGGGGGCTTAGCCCCCTAGTATAACTTAATAATTACTTCGAAATAGACAAAATTAATTTCATAAATTATAATCTCTAACAAAAAAAAAATATCTATAAAAAACCCACTTATCCACTTTACCAACTACAAGGAAAAGACATTTCTAATAGCCTCCTTTACTATATCTATTAAAATATAATTAATATTAAATATAGTATAATGTCCAATAAGAACAAAGAAGAGAAATTAAAATAAATGATTACATAAATTATGCATTTTTGATGACAATTCTAATCAGAGGTAAATTGTTTGTAAGGTAAAACTGTACTTTCCATGAATAAGATGTAAGCAAATCGGATGATAAAATCAATAATATGTTGACTAGGAATTCCGGTAAAAATATAAAATAATGACTTCCTCTGACTAATTATCAATTGATTAAAAGCTTCGAACCTGCTTCNTTTTTTTTTTTTTTTTTTTTTTTTTTTTTTTTTTTTTTTTTTTTTTTTTTTTTTTTTTGTTACAAAGCTTTTGCTGAACGATTTCAACTTGTAGCGAAACGATGATGTGGAAAAAAAATGAATAATGGAAGTAACCGAGAATTAAAACGTTAATTATACACAAAATAGTGTAAGAAGAAAAATTAATTTGCATAATTGTAATACAGGGAGCATTTATTTCAAGACAAATAACTAAACTATTTGCATTTTTTTTTTTTACAAAATTATGAAGAATGAAATAAAATTTCGTCAAATATTTTCTGAACAATAGTTAGATTCCATAATAGTTAAGAGAAAAAGAAACATAAAATGATTGCATAGAGAAAGCTTTTAAAATTAAAATGTAGAGAGGCTATACACTGCAAGAAATTCCAGATTAAATTATGGTAAAAAGTACCAGCACTCGGGATGTCAGTACTTTTTACCGTAAACTCCAGTTTCATCGGAGTACGTAGCGGAACAAAGAGTCTGATGTACCGTAATTTTTACAGTAATAAATGCCGTAAAAATAACTGAATCACTTCAATTAAATAAATATTACAGTTTAAATTATAGTGCAATATTTTTCGGTAAAATTAGATTTTACGGTAAAATGAATTTTACGGATAAAGTGCCGGTACTTTATACCGGAATTTGATCCTTACAGTATAGTAATTATATTTTTTTTTTTAATTTAAAATATAATTATGGTATAACAGACGAGGCATTACGTTATTACTTGCTAAATCCCAGCTCCAAATACCCGTTTTCTTCGTAAGTGTTGAATAAAAAAAGAAAATAATCAAAAAATCAATAATGAAAAACACTACGAAATCATGCCTTAAAGTAAAAGACGCAACGGACGTAATTAATGAAGCTAAAATAGTTCCATTTATTATTATTTGCTGTCTTTCTCTGTGACTTTACGCAGTTAAATTATTAAAACAAGCTTTTTGTTGCTTATCCCATCAGAATAGAGATTAACTGTATTCAGTATCACTTGGTATTATGCTATTGCTCTCAGCCAACTCATGATAGTTCAAATTTATCACTATCAGGTAATTTTCTAAGGTACTAAAACCTTTCGTAGGGCAATAAGATACTTATTTTCAAGCTATTGGTATTAAAACTGCTCAATACTAGTGTTGTTTTAATAATTAACAAATATATCTATATAATACTTTGTGACCATATTAGTATCGTTATATTAGTATCTTTCATGTTATCTCTTATATATTTGAATTTGGAACGAAATACGTTAATCAGTAGTAGAAAAATTGAGCCGAAATTTTAAATACAAATAAAATTCTTATAATACTTTGAAAGACTTTGTAGCATGACTATTTCTTTATCTAATCATTAATATACTGTTTTAAGGCCGGGATAGCCTGGTCGGTAGGGCACTAGGCCCACGTCTGAGAGTTCGTGGGTTCGAACCCCGCCGGGCGATGACTCTCCATGTAGTTGGTGACTGATGAACGTTAAAATTCTGTCGACTCGCAAAGTCCTCCATGTTCCCATAACAAATCAATACCTTTGGAGGTACTGGATTGGAGATAGATCATTCTCTCATTCAGGTCAAAATTACGATCTGTGAATGTATGAATGAGCCCGCCTAATAAACAGGTGTGACGTATGGTGCGGCAGAAGTCGAATTCTTGGCCATAGATGGCGCCACTGAAAAACAAGAATCGCACACTCTGCCTTAAATTTGCTCGGTTTCACCAACCAGGCTTGCCCGCGTGGCAAGTGGCATTAGAATCACCCTACCAACCATATACTTTTTTAATTATTTATAAGTAGAGGAGGAAAAGAGTTTTTTTTTACTCTAATTCATTAAAATATTAATGCTCTATCTTTGCTATCACTGGAAAAAAGTATTTTTTCGAACAATGGAAAATCTGTAATAGGAATCCTTATTAACCCTGCACCAATTACCATATTACCGAAATTAATAAAGCATCATCTGCGGTAACATAAGTTTGCCTATTTTTTTCACTGCTCCGCTAAACGAATAAGTACTTTTTCACCATTAATTTTGCTTTTCAGTACGTAATGTATTATTTTTGTTCCAATATGCAACTATTACCTGAATTAATTAAGCATTATTCACGTCGATAATTGTATGGTGGTTGTTTACATTTTACCTATACATATTTGTATCGGTAAAGTGACTAGGGTGTGGAACATCAGTAGTCGTAAACATAAAAATTAAGTCGGTTGTTTAACGACGGTTTTAAAATAAAATAAAATTATGAATGAATGATATATAAATCATGCGAAATGAATGATATAGCCTAAAAGTCCATAGGCTCACTTCTCAAAGCGTAAAAAAGTTTCTGGCAAATTAAGAAAAAAATACTAGAGACTTTACCAGCTAGCCTAAAATACAGTATCAGGATGTCAAAATCACAAATTTCAAATTTTATCACGTTAATTGAATTTAAGCGAATATTCTAAACCAGATAACAATTATTGTGTTCTTTATTTATACTGTAGTTCCTTCCTGGATGCCAAATTTTGAGCTCAGTACTATAGACGGCATCGATAAGTGCCGACAATTGAAACTTCATCTCCATAGGATATCTGAAAGAAATGGTTTCATAAGGTGAGTATTTTTATAACGCACTATTAAATGTTTTTAGATAACGTTGAAAGCATAATATTGCTCAAATTTGCAGCAACCTTAATCCGGAGTGAAGGTGAACCACATAATATTACAACTTACTCCTTCTTGAATTTTATCCCCGGAAAGTGTGGTTCAAGCCGAACGAAGACATGTTTATTTAGACGCTTTATTAAGGTTTCAGTAACTCTTCACGAGATATTATAATTCCAGATACCGATATTATGGTTCAAAGCTGAATAAGTATTGTAACTTGTTTTTGGTATTCTACATTTCAAAAATTTTAATGATTAATTCCTATAATTAATTTTTGTAATTAATTTTTATAATTAATTTTTATAATTAATTTTACAATTAATTTTTATAATTAATTTTCATAATTAATTTTTATAATTAATTTTTGTAATTAATTTTATAATTAATTTTCATAATTAATTTTGCAATTAATTTTATATTTAATCATAAAAATAGTGAAATTCTAAATCGTTTAGGCATTTTTCTGATTGCGACTCTTCACATTATGTTTTCCATTCATATAAAAAAAACAGTGGCTGCTATTTAGGCCAGTTGTGCATACACACCATTGACATCATCGATTTGAAATTGGTGTCTCCGTATATTAATTTTAATACCAATGAAATGATGATATTCTGCTGTAATTAAATGTAGGAAGGTATTATTCATTTTTGTATTCATTCTTGTTAAAAAAAATGGGACAAATCACTGGAGCTTTAACTTATCTCTATAATATACAAAGATTATGGATTATAATATTCTAATTTTTTTTGTAGGTGTTATAAGGTTATTCTAATAAAATTAGCAAAAGGAGATAATCTCTCGTCCTTACCTAAAAACCCAGTGGAAAATAACCTCACGTCTTACGAGGATGTGCACCAGAGCGGTGCGGTAAGAGGAGCTTATTTGGCCGAAGCATTTGACCAGTAAGTTTTGAAACAATATAGTTCATTCTGCATGTTGTGCACACATTTAAAGTCACTACTCCTTTGCCCTTTTGTACTTTTAATATCATACATCATGTCCTTTATAATCTCTAAATTATTATTCTATTTCTGTAATGTCTCCTTCTTATCTCTTACGTGGTCTGACGCAGTCTGATTAGGTCGAAATAACCATTGACTTTAAGTATGTCGACGACAAACTGAGAAAACGAGTTGATTTCTTCTCTGCTGAGCGCAAGATATGTTTGGGAGTGCCCTGATGAAGCTGGCATTTTGGACAATAGGGAATTTTCAATCCACCAGAGAATTTTAGACTTTTCAAGTGACACCCAGCGAGCCGCGATGGGCTAGTTTGGTAGATCTGTCTCCCGAAAAGGAAAGAGAGAATGCTGGTTCAGACGCATATACCGCTCATTTCGGAAATGTACATTTATTTATAATTTATAAGAAAATGTTCATCTCTTTTATATATTTCGAATAATTAAGAGAATGTTTAAAATGACACAAAAGTAGAGGGTTACCCGATTTGATTCATCTAATTTCAAAGAACTGTCTATGTACCGGTGTGATAAACGAAAAGATACATAAATACGCTCAGCAGATCCATGCACATACTATAAGCGTTTAGTGTATACCCGTATGCCCTAAATAAGGGCGGGTCGGGGTAAATTCTTCCATAAGCGTTTAGTGTGTTCACCCTTGGTCACCCATTCATGCTAATGGTAAATTAATTCCTATAGCGTGTTTCCATCAATATCTACGACAGCAACGATGATGCGATTTTTCGGAACAGAAATTTTTTATTTATTTTAGATAATTTTATATTTCATAACCGGCATTGAGCAGCCGAACCGATTCTTAGTTTACGACTATCAAATTTCAACTATTTGGTTCTATAATTTTCAACCCAACCCAGAAGACAGTGAATCTCCTGGATCAAGGATTGGTAAATTAGTTTTCGTGGAGAACTTTCTGGTGGAACTAACACACATTTGCTCACGGAAAGGAGATTCTGCCCCACAATCCATTCCACCACTGGGGATATTTTACGTCAGCACTGTGATCGATGAAAGTCGGAAGCAGAATTCGTACTAACCAGCCGTTGGGATTCGAACCAGGGTCATCAAGTCAGTATACCCCCAATTTCAACAACACTGCTGCTTCAAGAGAATATTTTTTTCTCGCCACCAAACTCGACTGTCGAAGGGGTGGGGAGGAGAAAGAAAAATTCTAAATATGCTTTTAATAATTTTTATTTAATTTTCACAAATACACTTATAGATATTTACTTTCACTATATATTTAACTATCAGTTAATTTATATATTTACTTAAACATACGAAATACAAAGTCGTCATCCAAAAATTATTTGAGATATAAGGCATGCGGTATTTTAGATTGTGTATTCTTTTTTTTCCGTTAAATTATACCAATTCGATTCTAAAATAAGCATTTTTCGAAAGGTTCCAAATTATCTCGCGTTCTAATTATTTAACAGTAAACAAAGTTTTGTTTTTGTAAAGAAGAATTAACAAAAGCTTTTTTCTAACCCAATAGAAAAATCTTAAGATACATTTTTATCACATTAAACTAAAAATTGCTCTCATTTATTTTAAAAATTATATTTTAGAATCATTTTGAAATAAGTGCTTTAATTAATCTTTTTTTGCTATAACTATTTTTTAACCTTTTATTTTTCTAACACAATAGAAAAATCTTAAGATATTTTTTTATCACATTAAACTAAAAATTGCTCTTATTTATTTTAAAAATTATATTTTAGAATCATTTTGAAATAAGTGCTTTAATTAATCTTTTTTTGATATAACTATTTTTAACCTTTTATTTTATTTTATTTTACTTTCTTTCACCGAGCAAACACTTTATACTTATTTATTTAAAGAGAACTTACGGAAAAATAACGCCCATCACTTTTAATCAAATACTTATTTTCTCTCCTAAGAATGAAACATGACGAACTATTCCTTAAAGAGGAGAAATTTTTGTTTTCTAAAATCCTATTTGAACAAAAACGCTACCTAATAGAAATACCGTGAATATCTAATTGGTGATCCCTCATTTTTGATCTTAAGTTTATATCTCTTAGACACAATAAATAAAGTTTTTCTAAGATTTAATAGTTAAGTTGTATCATGATGTATTTGAAAGTTTTTGAGAGGATGTAAGTTTTTAATTTCGGAAAAAAATATTTAGAATTTATTTTTATTATTATTATTCTTATAGATAAAATCACTTTTTTAGTTTATGTTTAACTATTACATTCTAGTAAAATTATGGTAGTAAAAAATTTCAAAAAAAAATTTCCCTGTTTATAATGCTAATAAATAACGCCGCATTTCAATTAGCCACGGTTTCATGTTCCTTGATAATTTTATTGTTTTTAATTTTATAAATCTTTTTGGTCCTGCCAGTACATTACATTCGAACGAGTTAGCTGTGGTAAAAACTAATCAGTATGAATCATATGTTTAAATGCATTTTCTATTAATGGTTTATTTGTTTTCTTACTTATAAGAATTTACTAATGAAAATCTCAAAACAACGTACTAAAAATAACTCAGTTTGTTACTTAAAATTGTTTAGAAAAATACAAATAAAACTAAAAGTTCAATTTGACTAATGTACCAGAAAAAAGTAACTCCAAACTTCGTTATTACTTTTAAGATATAAATACTCTGAATGGAAATTAGGTTGAAAGTAAAATTAAATAAGTTCTTTACGCTAGCAGATTACCTGAAAACCAATAATTTATACTCATTTGTTCTCAGTCAAAAACATCTGCTCCTTTTTTCATGTATATATAATTTACCATTAATGAAAGAAATATTAATCAATAGAGAAGATGAACGCACATTCGGTGAGAACAAAGTGATGGTTCGTAAAAATGCAAACGAGCTAAAAGAAATCTAAAATGATTCGAAAGTTTATTTTCTGATGAGGTGAACGGTTTATTTTTTCAATACTAAAAGCGTTTGAGGGATAAATTATTTTGTTATTAAAGATTTATTTATTGTTTCTTCTCTCTTGTTATTGTAGCATTAGTACATGAGTTCTGATCAATTCGTTACAGATAGATATTTTAATAGTTTAAAAGAATACTGCGTAATGAAACTCCATGTCAAATTACGAAAATTCCGGCAGCAAAGACACCAGACAAAGTCCATGAAAATATTTAGACCTTAAATTACGAATTCCTCGTAATTTCATATTGTATATATATAGTATATATATAGGATTAGCCAGTGTAATAATAATTTCTACGTAAAAGAACCCTAGTAAAAGAATGGGCATCNGTTCCATAGACTTAACATTGATCCAACCAAATATTCTCGTTTCCCTCGGTAAATCCAAGTTCTCGTTAAATCCGAGCTCGTTATAAACGAGTTCGACTGTATCTGGCAACATCCAATCTCTTTCATTTATTTTATTTTTTATTACTCTCGAGATTTTTTATTTATTTACTCAGTACTGAAGAACGCTACGAAATCATGTACAAAACTGAAAGGCACATACCTACACAGCTGAAGAACTTAGAGAAAGAACCAGGAAAGTGACATTTTTAGAGGAAATTATGAATCAGAAAAAAATAACAGGATGTGGTTACATCAGTATGGGTATGTTTAATGTAACAAAATTGTTTTTGCTTTCACTTTAATTTTTATATAATAACTAATCCATATTAGTGCTTGGTATGCTTGCAAGATTTTTATTTTCAAATTCGGCACAGTGGTAAATAAAATAAGGCATAAAGTTAGTAGTCCCTCCTTTTAATAAATCGGTAATAAAATAGTTCAAAGACGACTTTTTTTCTTCGTACACTGATTGTAGCCTCTATGAACTAAGCACCATTGCCATTAATGATAGTATGGCGATTTTTTACGTTCCTAAGTGAATTAACGCCACTTTTTCATTTATCTCTCTCCCTTTATATATATATATATATATATATTATTAAAAGATTATTCTTCATAAACAAAGAGGAAGTATTAGTGTATCCGAGAAACTATCCGGAATTTAATCTCATATGCAATGTATGAGCATCTCTTTTCACAGACTCTCTTCAAACAAGGAGTCTAAAGTGTGAAAAATATCATCAATTTGTTTACTGATTGAAGTGTGGCAGGTAAAGTAAGAAATGGTCGAAAAGTGTCAAATGCTGGTAGAAACTAGATCAAAATTGATATTGCTGGTTTTCAAAATATCTGTTTAATCTGTTACACTAACCACTGCAACACAATGTTTAATCTGTAACACAATATCTATTACGCTTGCCACTTTGAATAACTAATTTACCCTAACCAATTACTTCATCAGTTTGGACAAATTGAACATATTTTCGCCTAATTCGAGTTCATGTACAAGCTGTAAGTTTTCTTTCAATCTTAGTTTTTTTCGGCCGTTTTATCTTAGAACTGTAACCGCTATTTAATACGTTAAGAAACTCTAATTCTAAGAAAGTTTTAACGTCTCTTTCTTATTATTTTCTCGAAGGAAAAAAAAGTTCTAAGATTCGATTGACTTCCCCGCAGGCTATGTGATGCAGTCAACAAATCGATCGCCCCTATGATGCTCTTCAACAATGTTGCTTCTAAATCTGTATGGGGAAAAAACAGAAATAGAAAAACGAAAACTGTTGAAACCAGAGTAAAAGTTGAAATGGGACCAATAGATGAAGTTATCTCTGAAGAAACATGTGTGAGTCTATTGGAGGGGGGTTACCATCAAACGCAAGAAAGGAGATCTTCTGCCTTAAAAGTAAGCTTCAACATCCTGGGGGAAGATTAGGGGATAAAAGAAACACTTCTCCTTTGAATCGAAAGTCCTTTTTTCCCTCTTGAAAATCCCTGCAATATCGTTGCAGACACCCTCAATATGTACTAGTAATGATTGTTGAAGTGGATTTCCTCTAGCAAATCCCCGAAAGTCAACTTGTCTTGTTTTCTTGTAATGTCGATGTGTTC